TGGAGAGTTTTTACAGTGTGAGCACTGAATCTCATTCCTCTCTCCCCACAGCTCGGCATAGCACCTAGCCAAAAGTAATCCATTCCCTAAGCTGTGTTTCATTGCACTACCTTGAGCGGAGTGGCTCATCATCCTAACAAAGTTTTTTTTTTTTCCCCTTAGGATCCAGTCCAGAGCCTACAAATTCCCCTGTCCTCTAATCACCATCCCAGACCAGTGTGGACAACTCTGGAAGCCAGGGGACAGGTGGGATGGCTGATTCCCGGAGTGTTTCCTGGTGATTCCCGCCGCAGTGTTGTCCGGTGGTGGTGAGAACAGATCATCTGACGGACGGAAATGCCTTTTGTAAACTGCTAGATGTCGAGAATAAGAAACTACCGGTCTCTTCTGAAATCCCGTTCGTCCTGACTCTAGTTTCTGAGTGTCTTTGCCGGGGGCGCGTTGGGGGTGGGGGTGGGGGCTCATCGAGTTCAGAGCTATGCGAGAATATGATGTACAATAGTGGTTTGCGATTTAGCAAATAAAAATAGTTAAGTTTCAGAGTTAAACATTTCAGAGAAACAAATAGTTAACATTTCAGAGAAACAGATGACAAATAGTTAAACATTTCAGAGAAACAATGAATGTGTACTTTGCATGTTCTACGCAATATTTGGGACATGAGTATTCTAAAAAATATTCATTGTATCTCTGAAATTCAAATTTAATTAGGAGTCCTGTATTTGACCTGATAACCCCATCACCACCCCCACCCGGCCCCAAGAGCTGTCCTAGGTCTTTGTTATTGTTAAACCAGCTGCACCAAGCCGAAGTCAAGGGTTTCTTTGGCCGAGGGGGGCAGGGGCTGTCGCCATCCCCGACGGTCCCCTGCCCGCCCCGGGACTGAGCGGGCAGTGGAGGCGGTGCAGCGCCGCGGCCGCCGAATTCCCCTGCGAGCCCGGGCGCGCCCGTCCCTTCGACCCGCGGAGGAAGGTTCCGACGCCCGCAGCTCCTGGAACGCGGTCAGAAACAGGAAAGAAAAAGGACTGAGAGGATCAGGAAGGAAGTGAGCGGCGCGCAGTGCGTGCGGAGAGCGTGGTCTCACCGAGACCCAAGATCAAGGAAGAGAGACTGACTTTACAACTAGCAGTTTAAAAGCAACGACATAAATCCTTTCTTGGTTTCCAGTTTCCTGTCTCCCTTCCAGAGGAAAAAGGAGGAAGATCAGTCCTTCAGGGTCCACCCAAGCAGGTTACCAACCACGTGCCCACAGGGTAGCAGACTGGATTCTCTCATAAAGAGGCCCAGCCTGCCAGGTAAGTAGGGTAGAGCGCCCCGGAACGGCCCTTGGCGATGAGGCCTAAAACCTTTGCCGAAACCCGGGATCGAACCAGGGACCTTTAGATCTTCAGTCTAACGCTCTCCCAACTGAGCTATTTCGGCTGTTTCTGGAAAGCGATTTCCGCATAACCATAATGAAATAATATTTGCTCCGTAGTAACAAAAAGGTTATTGTATGGTTTAGCTGGAAGCAGGCATTTAATAAACACTGCAAAAGAGAAGAGGCAAGGCCTCTGTTTAAGCTAAAGTGGTAAGTAATTTCACTTTTCTCAGTTGTTTTTTAACTGCCCTGGAATTCGCTTTTTTCATTTAAAAATAAATCAAGGACTTTTTTCAAGTCAGGTGTATAGACCTATTTCATTCTTCTTGATCCATGTGAGGTATTGGATTGTATGGATATAACACAATCCATTTAATCAAATTCCTAATGATGGATGTTTAAATTTTTTTTCTAGTTTTCATTATTGAAAACAATACTGCAATGACTATCCTTTTGTATTTGTTTTTCTTGTGAGAAGGCAGATTTTGCAAGGTCAAAAGATATGAACATTTTGAATTTTTTCTGATATCGTCAAATTGGACTCAAAGAAATGTATGCAAGAATGTATGCAATTAAAATTTTAAATGTTTTTGGACATTGTCAAAAAGTAGAATTGGCTCAGACTTCTCTCAAACTCTGGGAAGCAAGTTGTGGTTTATTAATATCCTCTACTACGCTCATTTTATTCCACCTCCCCCTCCTGCTTCATGATTTTGCATCCCTTGCATTCACGTATCTATCATTGCACTAGCCGTGGTTGTAACTGAATCAGCATCGCTGCAAGTAGGGCTTAGGATTACATACTTTTTTAAGTTGACCAGGCAATTTTAATGTGCAGCCTCTCTCAGCATCCCAGTCCTCAGTTCTCACAAAAATGTAGCTATCACATATAGACCCATTTTCTAATTTGCTTACTCAACCTCTTCACTGGCAGCTCCAACTCAGAACGTCCAAGAATGAACCTATCTTTCCCTCTAGACTTGTTTATCTTACCACCACCTTCCACTGAGTTCCCCAAGCCAGAAAAATACACATTCCTTCCTCCCTCCCTCTACTCCCAACCCATAACCATACCCAAGAGCTGTTTTTCCACTTCGGTGTTCACTTCCCTTCACTCTCGCATCTTCTCCAATCTCTTCATTGGCCTTCTTACCTATAAATCATTTTCCACACTGGAACCCATCATCCTGCTTAAAAATCCGTCACCGGCTTCCTAGTTGAAAACAAAAACCAAGCTTCCTTATATGGTATGTGAAGACTTCTGTCACTTGGAGGTCTTACCTCTCTCCAGCACCATGTCATTGCTCTCTCCTTGACCCTGAACTCTAGCCATTCATGCAGCCATCCAAACTCAGGATGCTTTCCTTGACTTTGCTCTTCACCTTTGCCCATGCACCATTTTTCACATTGCCCTCACTCTAACCCCTGTTTAACCTGCAATTCTCAGCTCAGACACATTCTCCTAGTTCCAGAAGCCTTATCTGACATGTCTCTATCCCCTCCCTCCCCATTCCTACAGGCTCCCTGCCCCTGTACAGTGCTTTCACACCATTTATCAAACCAGATCGTAATGTACTGCCTGTTTGAGCTCTTTCTTGCCATCTGTATCCCTAATGTATGTTACATAACAGGCTGCAGTAAATGTTGAATGAATAAAGGAAGATGCGCCTAGCCATGTCTCAGGGCCAACTGGTTCTTTACTAACTTCTAAAATCACCTGGTCAAATTCAGAAGATGTGACCTCTGCAAGGCTATTTATAGAAGATTCTGAGCTCTTTCGTTCTTGCCTTTAAATTATGCCTCATCTGACCATCCCGCCTCCTTCCCTGGAGGGATCAATGTGAACTGAAAGAGGAGCACTTTACCTGAATAGATAGTAGAAAGGAAAGCCTGCGAAGAGTATAACCACAGATTATTTTATGAGCCTTGGAAGGGAAGACCATGAAAAGACAGGAAAGCTTCCCACAGGGCAGGTCAGAGTACTGGGCAAAAGCTTTATCACATTTTGATAACAGTCTTAAGAGTTTCAGAAGGTATGTATAGCCTTATAGTGAATAAATTCCAAAGGTTTTTCTATGCCTCCTTTAGGACTGTACTGCAGGTTGGTTTTCACTTATCTTGCTGAAAGCAGACATCCTTGAAATGCACAGGTTTAACATTTTTGCAGGACTTCAGAGGTCGCTGACAAGTGTGATAATTTATCATTTCGCTGACTCATAATTTTGAATCATGAGTGAGTGTGGTGGACCCCTCAGGATCCACATCCCAAGCTATCATGTCACAGTAGCCCATTAAAGGACTAAAGGAGGAATTAAAATGTTTCAGGGACATTTGACTGTCTCTAATGGAGGAACTTATATATCACAGTGGTACCCAAGATTGTAGGATGCAGTGATCACAGATGTCAAGGGTCGACTGCAATGGCTTTTAGCTTGACAGAAAAAAATCTTTGCTGAAACGTAACATGAAGTCCAGCACTGGGAATGAGGCAAATGACTTGAACACCTCAGTGGCCTTCCCAAGAACCACGCTAGAAAAAGAATCCCGACAACATAGCTAATTTTGTGGACATGAAAGCCTTGAGAAACCAAAGAGCCTGGAGGCTGAACTTCAAGGATGCTCCTTCCTTCAGGTGAACCCCCAAAATAGTACTCTCCACATTAATAAGCCTGTGGAAACAGACATGTGTATCTAAGCATGCGATAAAATCCAGGTGGAAATGATCTAATTATCGGCTGCCTTCCAAACCAGTTTGTCCCAGAGTACAAGGTTGTAGGTCACAAACTCCGGGTTAAACAAACCCAGCTTTGAATTCCAACAGTGTGACTAACCAATCAGCTATGTGACTTCAAGTGAATTTACTTAAATTATTTCTGAGAGCCTTTGTTCATCTTTAAAAGGGCGACTGCAACATTTTCCTCTTAAAATTAAGTGTAAGCCAGACAATGTTCAGGGTTCCTACCTCGGCTCCCTCGACCCTGGAGCAGATGCTCAGTTAGTGTGCGGGCCCTCCCACAGGGCAGGAATTGTGCTTGCTCTGATCTGAAGCCTCTCCAGGCCCCTTACATTACTTTTCCCATCTTCCCATCCCTGAACTTCACAGAGAAAACCTCAACAAGCATTTTCACTGTCATTACTTCTCTCCAAGGGCTTCAAATCAATGCTCAATTGTTCACGTTTCAGAATACAGAATTTGAATACCTACATGAAGCAGCTAAGAATCTGAGAATCTAAATGGACACGAGAAATTAAATCAAGAATACTTTTACTTTTTGAGTTGAAACAGACCCAGTATCAAAAACACTAGAAACTATTCCCCTATACCAAAGTGGGACATTGATGATTACATGACGTTGAAGTGGCAGGGGCTATTAAAATCACTCTTCTGCTCATGGGCCCTCCAGAATGTCGAACAGTTCAAACATCTGGAAATCCATGCTGTTTGTCTTTTAATTTCTCGTGAAAATCGGGCTCCCAGACTCCTAAGAAGCGCAAATCACCCTTGGACCAGTTATCCACCCTCTCCTCACCTGGTAGGAGTAGAAGTGAATCAGACAAACAATATGACTTTTTAAAAATTATTTAATTTAGTAGTTTTCTTGGAAAAAAAACAATAAGGCAAAAAAACCGAAAATATATATAGTTTTGTTTTGTTTTCATGTGACTTTATTTCACCTGAAGGACTCAAAGCTTCTTCCATTTGCAGGAATCTGACTGGGGATCAGGCCGGAATGTAGTGCAGATGGTAGAGGAAGAAAAGGGGGATAAAGCAAGGCAGTTCAGCTTAGTTTGGGAATCCCCACTCTGTCTGGAGCCCCTGACTAGGTCAGTGCTTTTACCGACCTCCTTGAAAGCCGCCCCAGCGTAAGCCTTGCTTATGTCACCCTTGCTTATGTAGGGAATCGGGTCCTTAGGAGGAAGTTCCCCAGCAGTTCCCTCTCTCTCAAGTTCATCCCAGCCAGGAAGGGAGGGATGGCGGGGAAGGAATGAGAGTACTAATTTACCCAGGATAACCCAGCTGTCCCGGAGGGCTGGCTTCCTCTGGAATGCTATTTCCCCTCACGACCCACACTGGCTGAGGCTCAGCAGTTAAGGAACAGAAACAGAAAACGCTAACAGAAAGCATACAAGGAAGGCACCTCAATTTGTGATCCTCAACCAAGGGTGGGTTGCACAGGGGGTCAGAGTTCTGAACAAGACAGCTAAAACGAGTACAGAACACAGAAGGAAGGAAGCCAGGGCCCCGCCAAAGCCATCCTCTTTCCCTGCCCACATGATGGTGCTTGGAGCCCCATCTCCTGGGAAGAAGGTTCTTTTGGGAATCGGCTGTGTGTGCTGTGACCGGGACAGAGGCAGAATTAAACTGGAAATTACCCTCCTGACTTTCTACCCATATTCTTCCTAACAAAAGAAGGAAAAAAGGCAGGAAAGAGGTTAAGATTCCATTTTCAAGAGTCAGGTAATTAGGAGAGCAGAGTTGAGACGGCAGTGGGCACCCCATGATACAAACCATGGATACAGGCCCTGTTCGGTGAGTGCCAGACACGATCCTGCTCAGGTTTTGAGTCTGTCTGCCCCTCACAGATGGAAAGCAGAGCAGGCTCCAATCCACATCAATGTGTCCAAGAGAGTTCCAGGGAGACAAGTGATATCAAAAAACAAGATTCTTAATGGGAAGAAGGAAAATTAAACAAAAAAATTAGATTTTTCTCTACATATATATAATATACAGATATGTAACACATTATTCCAGAGGTGGCTCCAGTCCATGGGGCTTGAGAGATGGTGAAAACTTTTATTCCAGACTAACTTCTTCTCTCAAATTCTGAATCAGAATGGGATAGGTAATGTTTTGCTCCATACTGGGGCACAGACGCAAACTGGTATTGTGCCGAGAGAGAAGAGAAGCTAGAAAGGGAATGAAGGATGCGGGGAGGAGGAACTGGGAAAGCGAAAGTGGCTAGCACTCTTTTTCCATCCTGCCTCGTGTTCTCAGAAGTTCTCCACCTGAGGAAGTCCGTAAAACCCCTTTGTGAGGATTAATTCAACCCTCCTACCAACGACAGAAGTGGCCTCCACTTGCTATCAAAGAGGATGGAGAAGAGCAGAAGGGTGTGTTATGCAAGTGAAGACAGAACCTTCCAAGAATGTAATGCTGAAAATTCCAACCTTACAGAACAATTCCTCTCGCAAGTGTCCCAATACCACAATTATCTACGCATGGACGCCCTGTAAACTGACCCCATTGGTGAACACATTTCATAATGCCATGCCATGTCACCACAATCATTCACGATGCCTCCGTTGGTAAGTCTTATATGTTTCTTTTTAAAGGAATTTCTAAAATCAGCTCTTGCTCTGAACAGCACCAAAATGCCCCTGAATCATAATCTCAATGTAGATCTTGGCTGAGCAGGATACTACAAGGGGAGGGTGAATGACACCATCTTAAATGGGGGCAGAGGGAGAAGGAAGAGTCAAGAATACTGGACTTTGCGAAAGTGGAATAACACTAACGTTCAGCCACTAAACTTCTCCCTTACAGACACAGGTATCTAGTATGTCGACTTCAGTTTCAATCAGCTAAGGCAACCAGCCAATCACCACCACTGGTGTCTGCTTCTGGTGATTGATTGGGGAAAAATGATTGGTTAAGACAGACAAATCTGAGGAAAGCACTCGGTGAGAGAGCCACAACTGCCAGCTTTCCACACATCCTCTGTCCTCTTCTCCTGTGGATCCTCCTCTTTTTTGTTACTGTTGCTTCAGAAAATGTCCGGGCATGTGCTCCAGTCCTGTTTTTCTTTACACTCCCAATATCCTCCCCGATAAATATGGGTTAACTCCTTGGTAACAGGGTCCTTCTTCCGCTCAAACCACAGTGCCTTGTAGGGATCATAGGGTGTGCCTAAAAGGGAAAGAAGGGAAAGAAAAATGGAATTAGAGGCAAAAATACACTGGCATTCTCCACACATTAAGAAATAGGGGTGACCGGTTCGTTACCATCCTCTGTGGCTTTCATAGCTTCTGCTTCTCTCTTCTTTCTGGAAAGTCTTTGTTTTTCCTCCAGGCGCTGCTTCTCAGCATTTGCTTCATCCCAGCGCCCGTTTTCCATCAGTCTCTGGTCGGGCCGTAATCGGCTGTCTGTAGGGGCAGTGCCAGCTTCCCAGGCATTGAGAGTTAGAGCAAGCTCTGAAAAGTAGTACATGTTTCTGCAATCTCCTAAAAGTAAAGGATGAGAAAAAGAGAGGGTAATTCCAGAGGCCAGACCCTAGTTAGTTAAAGAGCAACAGCTAAGTACACTGCCAAAAGACTACTTCATCAAAGACTGTACGAAGGCAAAGACTTAGGACCTTGTCAGCTTCCCCTAATTACGAGACCCAAAACTTGACCATTCCCCGGCCCCTCCCCAGCATCTCTCAATTCCATAGTTTTCTGGGCTTGTGTTGCGTTCAGCTGGAATTAGGAAGAATCAAACTTTCTACTAAATGAAAAGGCCTTATTCCTGTTTCTTTTGCTTTCTTTTTAACCTCTTCCCAGGATAATCTTGACTATTATTACAAACTGAACATATGAGATGAAGATAGGAGACAAATGGCCTCTGTCTTTATTTCCAAAGTCCTGTATGTTATCTCAGGGACCTTTATATTGCCCCTGGACTTTTAGGCTAAATATTAACAGGTGGTAGGCATTTTTCTCCTCTAGCTGCTTCTGAATAGTTTTGCTCTAAATTATAGAAAAATATCTGTCTTAATCATGATCCAAAGGACATTTAGAAAGCATCAAATATTTTTTGGCAGATGTGTTTTGATTAGTTTGAACTTTCTTGGGACAGGGCATGCTACAACTCCACTCATACAGTGACAACCTGCCGGTAATCTCTCCAAAGATTCTCATTCCCCTTGCTCAATCTCTCACTTAACTAAGCAGGAAGGCAGGCAGCAATGCTGGCAATCCTGCAGAGGCTGAGGTCACAGCAGTATCTGGGCAGCATGCACACTGATACTCCACGGTAAAGGGATTCCCTTTTCCACAGCATGACCCTGCTTTCCTCTGCTTCATGGCCTCTCTGTCGAGCATCACCCCCATTCTCCCCAATGACTGGATGTACTTTGAAACAATCCATTTTCTCATCCCACGTCCCCAGAAGGGCAAAGTGAACTCTTCCTGATGGATCTGTCACTTCCCCTGTCACCTACAAGGATGGAGAGCAGGGCTGTGGAGTTCAGCATGCACTGGGGGTTAGCTTACCTCACTGTTTTGGAAACCAAAGTCCTAGGGTAAATATTGGTTAAATCCTCCTATGACAAACACCATGGAGTCATCCAAATTATTTTGTTATATTTTCCTGAGCTGCTTAAAATAACTGAACCGTGAGTTGGGGGTTTCATCACCATTTTGTTGTATAGGGATTTTTGTTGCAACGATAACATGTAGGAAAAGGAATTGACTGGTACTCAGAATTAAGGTATTTTCTTCTCTCTAGAAATCAGAGAGAGCCACGAACAAATTTAAACCCCAACTACTCTTCACTCTTTTGTCGAAATCCGTGGCACAATTCCACTGTGGTGGTAACACATAACTGCTGCTCAAACTTCACAGGGGTGACACTGCCCATGCCGTCTTCCTATAATCCTTTTGTTAGTCCTTCCTGTGTGTTTCCCATTTTTAATCTTTCATTGCTCCTGACTTTTACTTTCATACTTGTTGTCTTTTCCAGAAAAGAAAAGAATTTGGTTTCGTAATGCCATATTGTTCACTTTCTCTTTTACCTTTCCTATTTTGAATCGCCATGTTTAGGAGATATAGATCTCTCTCTCTATCTACACCAGCCCCAAAGAAGTAGCCTTTCTAAGGGATACACACTGAATGAAAACAATTTAAAATCCAACTTCTCTTACCTTTCTTGCTACATCCCGAGAGAAGTAGCTATAAGGAACAAATTTAAGATTGCACTTGTCTCCTGTCTTGTGATTCACAATGTCAATTTCACCAGACTATCAATGAAAAGAATCAGGGATTAGTTTTCTTAAGACTGGATGACTTGAATATATGCCAAACCCATGCCTCATAATTCTTTGCTTTTCAATCTTAATTCTAGCACTTCCTTGCTTAAGATTCAGGTCTTAGCCAATCCGGAGATGCTGTGGACTCCCTTTGTAACTGTGGTATTCCAGGGTGGGATCAAGACCAAATGACTGTTTTTTTGAATTATGTGTCACGTTTTAGGTGGCATGAATCAACC